TTGTGAAATTTCATTACACCAAAAAAACCGAAAAGGGTTTGGGTACTTTGTATTATAATATAATGTCATTATATTCCTTGCTAGTTTTAATTTAATTTAGTCCCCCTATTCGTGTTGTAAAGTAAACCGAATAACAACCGGCTTGTCCGGATAAAATCACTTTTGAATAAACGTTTCGATACGAATCTGTAAATGACTCAAGTTATAAATTATAATTATGATGAAAATCATTGTAAATGCAAACGTAAGTTTAAAATTGTATTTCGAATGACAGCTCATTTCTGTTAGGTTAGGCTAGGTTAGGTTAGTTGCCGTTGTTACCAGTAGACAATATAGAATCAACGATATAATGAAAATATTTGCAACAACCAGCTGTAAAGTGTAGTTAATAACGTGCTTGTTTTCTCGTTTTTTCCTTCCAAGATCTACTTCAGTCTATTTAATTATTTAAAGTTGTAGAGCACCGTGAGCCAAAGTTGAATATTAAAAAATATTCAAATGAAAATGATAATGTAAGCACATGCCTGGTATATGTATTGTAGTATAGAATAATTATCGTTTTGTTTAATAAATAATAATTGTATGACCTTTTTATTACAAATAATTTTTTTTTTTTGTTAAAAAATCATTCGAATAACATTTTATTTGTTCAGTTCTGGCATCAAGCTGTGAAGGAATCGATTCGTCGGATCTGGAAGATGTGGTTAGAGGTTAAAACGCGTACGGGAAAACATAAAAATAAATATTAAGCCGTGTTCCAAAAATACAACGAATGATAATATTATATATAAATAAAAATATATTATGAGATTCGACCGCTAATTATTGTGTACAAGAATAAAATACATAATATTATTTCAGTCGTCATTTTTATTTTTTACAAATAAATAAATAATTATTTTATACTGGTAATTATCGAAAAGCTTTATGTTTGTACAATGAAACTCTGTCTCTTACGAACAAAACATATTATATTACTTAACCGGTAATGTGCGGTTTGAATACAGATTTTACTTTTTGCAGATGAGTAAGTTATTTAATTTTAAAAATGACCGGTCTTCTAGTAGCGCTTTTGGCACCACACCCGTTCGTTTCACTTTTAGATGTTTTTCTAGTTTGTTATTCAGTAATAAGTTCGCATACATTTTTTTGTGGTTTGTATATTTTGGTCATCTTGATTCGTTTAACAATTAACAATAATATATTATAAAAGTATACATTCCGAATAAGCAAACGACCACAGCATTGTATTTTACACCTCCAAAAACTATACAACTACATAATAATATATTTTAAAGCAATGGGTAAACCGTTTATTTTTTAATTTAGTAACTGAAGCTTGACTGCTATGTTGCTCGACATAACACCTTTATACATCTTTCCAACTTAATTTTTGTACTACATTTTTAGCCGTCGAAAAAAATATATTTAACGATAACGGTCAAATTTTACGGCTAAATAAGTTTAATTAATAAACGTACTTTATTTGTATGCGGAATATAGTACATTTTATTTTATATAAATAAATACACCCAGTCCCTTTTTTGTGTACATAAAACACTAGTTTGGAGTTGGTGCCAATGAACAATCATTTATCGATTATTTACAAGTTTTGTAGAATTGGCAACTAATCCGTGTAGTTATAATGAATTAATTAATATATGTAATTGAGTAATTTAGCATGGTTTTTTTTAACATTTATATATTATAATAACCAACAATGAGCTGCAGACAGCATTACGATCGGTATATCGCATATTTGGCTAAATAATACAATGTATACTTAGTATATATTTTTAGCGTTTAATTACGCATCATAAAAACCGCAAGCCGACATAATATTATATTTGTTGTTAACAAAGCAATAAATAGAAATAGAAAAATGCATATATATTAACTAAACAACAACCGAGCACAAAGTCTTAGACTAACAAAACCGCGTGTACAAGTATAGGTATACCTAGTAAGTACTCAAGACTGTTCTTGCAACCATTATAAGTTTTACTTTTTTCATTTAATCGTAAAGTTAATTAATTAAATAATACGTTTTTATTTTTAGATTCGAAAAAATGTTGGTATCAAAATAGAAAATTTTAAAAAATTGACATTGGTCTTTTTTTCCCGTGACCCTTCAAGTACAAAAGTTAGTACCTAATTGTCGACTACTGTAGGGGAAACCCCCTGCTATATTTTAATAGCACATAAATACATTAAAAAAAAAGTCTACCCATAATTTTTTGGCAAAATTCTGACTTTAACCCGTGCCTGAAATCCGACTCTATTTAATTAACACACACTTATTTATTATTTTACTACTCAATTAAAAACACATTTAAGAATATTTAATGATCATATAAATGTTCTTGTTGATACTGAGAGTGCAGTTTGAGAAAAAGAGGTTTAATGTAAGAGGTAAACTTTTAGAATTTTATTTGAACAAAACGATGATTAATGATTTTTTAAACTAACAATATTCTACTAGTTAAATATAAATAAATATATTCATTTCTCTCACTCTTAAAGATTATTTTACTTGCTCAGTAACTAAAACCCTACAAACGTATTAATGCCATGTCTGTTTAAATTAACGTGTCGGTGGAAAAGCACTATTCGAATTTACATTATTGGATTAAAAATGTACATTTTTATTGGACCGTTTGAAAAAAAAAATAACCACCGTATACTTTGCTGGTCGCATCATGGGCTACCGCAGCCGTCTGTGGTAAATACCGTGGCGGTCAAACGATAGGGAACGCGGTTAAATTTTAATACCGCTAAAACAACGTCGACATTTCGATTTGGTTAGGTACTCTACGATACAGGGTGAACCGCTAACTATGAACCAGTCAATATCTCAGAAGATATTAGACTTTTTCAGTTATTATTTTTTTTACTTGCACAGTTATTAGTTAGCCCAAATTCGATATATTTTTCAACAATATTACCCCATTCCTGTTAAAACCCTATGAACTTAAGATTTTTTTATGGTACCGTATATGTGATCTCAACGTATATATATATAAATATTATATACTATATATAGGTTGACCATTCAGATGTAAGACACTCATTTTTATCGGAAATTATGTATATTTAAAAAAATTGTTTTCCCATTCTTGTAGGAGAATATTTTACTAATTTTTCAATACTTAGTACTTCAATTCGTTATTTTTAATAAAAGTTTTTACCTCATTTCAAAAAATACGTTTAACATAAAATATATGTAGACAAAAATTTTTAAAAAATGTTAGTGTTTTAGTTTTCATCAATCTGTTCGTTTGTTATGACTGCAAAAAAGTTAATTAATTGTCATGTGTGTTCGGTTTTCCAAAATCTAGTAGCCCATAAAATTCATATTTATGTTCGCATTGCTCGATAGGCTAGGAAGCGGAAACAGAGATGTTATGACGACCCCATATTCAGTAGGTAGTATCCACCGGATGGGAAAACGCACAGAAATTATTAATCTGAATAGCAATGACTGGTCGTATACGATTCGTAAAAAAAAAATAAAACAATGTACACACCAACCCGCGGTACTCAAGGAAATTAATTTTCTCTCGGGCTCGGCCCAGCATATATTTTATGTGCCCGACATGGCGAAAAGACAATCGCGACCGCCTATATAATTTATACACGGGTTTTTGGCTTTTCTATTCACCCCGGTGTAATAGGTGCATACCTATAAAGATAATAATTATCATTGTACAGTACAATGAGTACAATATATGTAGATCAGAAGCACCGGGGGACGCGACAACAACCCTCACTTATGCAAAATGTGTTTGCAAACGGGGTTGGTTGTTTTTTAAGCGTTACCGTTCGACTCGGCCCGAATGTGTTGGTATGCATATAATATGCTTTAACGGTTAAATTTTAAACTCTTTCCTGGTCAACCGTAATTTTTAACATTTTAACAAGAGCCAGTTTAATTCCCCCCCCCCCCCCGAATGTAAAAAATTAAAAATAATTCGTTTAAAACACCTCCGATTACCCTTGGAGTAAGAAGAGTGCCTTACTTATTTCATACTTTAATTGGACATATCCTCGTTACTTAAGAATACCAAAAAAGGGGGATGATCATACTTCGACTGTTGTTCATTTCTGGGTTCCTATGTGAGTGAACCAACAACAATCAACAGGTACCTGAAAAATAATTTCTTGTAGATACGATATTTATTGGTAACAATGGAAACTAACCTAACCCGACCCAACTTTATTGAAAGTGGCTGTATCTGTGATTTCCCCCGACCCAATATTATTATTATTTATTATTACAAATGCCATATTGGCTCAAGAACAGTGATAAGATAATTAAAATATTACAGCAGTAGAGATATACAATGAACACATTTTGTAAGGTATTTTTCACATATAACAAAATTAATATTAAACTAAAATGAGAAAAATGAGAAAATTACTAAAATAACATAATCACCAAGTACCGACCGGTTAACCGATGATATGATAAAGATGTTATTGTTAATGAAAAAAAACCTAACCCAGACTCATTAATATGATAAATACTCATTAAATATGACACCACCTTCTTTAACTTTTAAAATAAAACAAGAGATTCAACACAGAATTGATGTTTCGCCGTGCACACCGGCGGCGCCGAGACAAATTTACCAGCACCGGGATAACAATAACTATTACGATGACGTATACAGTACACAACGGAGCAGCGGCCACTGTGGTCGTAGGATTCCCGAACAAGAACGATTTGAAAAAATAATAATATTATTATGCCGTAAAATGGGTGCCGTCCAACTGTGTTTAATCGCGTGTGTAATAAAGCGCGTACGACAAATAGCGTAGCTTTTGATACCCACACATATACCTACTGCACCTGACGGTTGGCGACTGAGGGGCTCGGCAAGAAACACACTTTGGGGAGGGGAGGGGGGTGGGGGTGAGAGGGTCGGGGTCGGTGGTTGGCCGGTGGATATCTGCCAATGATGTCGGGATACAAATAGCACCGGCCTGCCCGAAGAATTGGCCAAAAATCGCGTCCGTCGACTACCGACAGAGGTGTACTTATGCGACGATGATGATCGGGTTCAGTGTTCGCGTTACTTTCGGCCAGCCGGAGCCGGAGCCGCGATAGATCCAGTTTTTGGACGACCATGGATCCGCCAAAAATCACTTAGGTAAGTCACAGCGGGGCACACTATAAGGGTTGAGTCCGTAAAAAGCGAAAAATGCGCACCTCTTGTCAATGTTGTCGAGTTACGGCCGAGATCCGAGGCGAATCTCTTGTTTGTACAGTCGAAAAAATCGACCAAGTTTGTTGCACGTCGAGGCTGTTAGTTTATACTAATTTAGGCTTTTTTTAGTTAATCGATTCTGCGTTTTCGCATAATACCCTAAATAGTATCGGGAGACACGGAGGTACAATTATTATTTTTGATCCTTTTGGTAAGACATCGATATCGATAACGCACTAATTTTCTCTGAAAATTGACTCACTTTAGTTAATCTGTTATTTTACAATGTTAGACAATATTCAAATTGAGCTCTATCTAATTAAACAATTGAACTTTTAAAAGAACTTCAATAAATTGTAACGCATATATTTAATTGACATTTTACAGCCAGTTGTGGATAATTTCTTTTGAAGTTTAAATTTTGAGACCGGAGGGAATAATATGTGGACTGTAGTATTATAAAATAAATCAAGTTTAGCCCTGGAAAATACTAAAAAAATAAGCTAAATAATAAAGTAAATAAGTAAAAAAATTGTTCAACAATAAAAACCACAAAATTGCAATTACTATAAGGATAAATCACCCTGTACTATAAGGAAGGCCGCCCGTTAAGGAAAACCGTGTAACGATAATAATACAAAACGCTATTATTGTATCTCTGGCTGTCATGTTATATACATGTATACCGTTTATAAACGTAACTCGAGTATATTATTATTGTTATCCTTTTTGCGCAGTACCGGAAAAGAACTATAAAATAATTATTATTGGACAACGGTTAAGTACGGTATTAGGTATTATCATCCTATAGGTACCTACGTTTAATGCATTTTCGAATTAACGAAACGCTTTACTGCCGCCAAAGCTATTTGTGTGAAAATCGGATTAGGTTACGAAAAACCATGTCCGATAAAAATACATAAGCTCCTTAATGGCTGCCGAGGTCAAACAAAAAAATAATAATAACGTTTGATCTTTGACGTTTGTACCTGAGCTTTTATAAATAAAAAAATGTTTAAAAATGTATTGACGGGAAAACAAACAACGATTTTCTTTTATATCAACCGTTACGGTGGAAATAATTTTTTTTTTTTTTTTTGAAAAAAACCAACGCATAATTAACACTTTCGAGGAATTTAGGTTATTCAAACAACCGTAGTCCGTCCAGCAAAAAAAAGGGGTCTGCAAAGTGCTAATCCACGCGTTGGCCAAGAACCAAAATTATATATATTTTATTTTTTGATCAACACGCATCAAAGAATTATAATATAAAACACATATTTTAAATGTGCGCATAATAATAAAATTCAAAAGAATTTTTACTTGCGTCGTACGTAGAAACGAAAATAAAATAAAAGTATATTTTAGGACTTTGTAGTGGGTTTGTTCCTCACGTTTGCGGTCAATAGTCAAAAAGATTGTATTCGTATGCCATGATAAAAAAAATATAAGACATTTTATATTCAATAGAAAATCACAACGAAAAACACACATGTAAAAAGATACCGTCTCAGTTTTATAATATTTTCAACATTTTAGATTCACCGTAACTATAATTATATAATATGCTATTTAAGCAAAATATTATTATTGTATTTATTTTTTTAAGGTTTCCATATTTTTATTTTTTCTTGGAACATCAAATAAATGTATACATATATATTATATGCATGTAAAAGAAAATAGGGGAATTTATTAAGTTAACGAAATCTAAATCATCATACTTTTCCGGTATACAACAACTGTATCCGTTTGATATTGCCAAGTGTCTATTTTTATAGCGGATACACGTTTATATTTCGCAATTATTTATACTTAAATAAATGATATTGTAGAAAACGCGTTTTAGCTTCGACGCGGAGCTGAGGAGGTATTCTTGTTACAATAATGTGTTTTATGTGTTCGACTAACGATATCTTTTAAGCCGTTCAACTGATTCTTCGTGTAGTAACTCTATAGATCAGAAATCGTACCTAAAATGTACTATGTTAGGCCAAAAACTAAAAAAGTACATATATTTCTACATTTTTACATATAACTTAAAATCAAGGCGCTCTATAATTTTTTTTAAATAAATAGTCTCTAGGATACCATCTGTGAGTGAATCAACAGTCAACAGGTATTTAAAATTGTTTTTATTATACTGTTTATAGTGACAGCGTAACTGTGACAATAATTTATCATAGATAGTCGATCAACCCCAATCGTATCCACCCCTAATAACAAAAATACATTTTTAAACACATTATTGTCATTAGATACAATGCTTTTATCGATATTTGTATTTCTACCGTTACAGATTCTCATCGAAGCGTTTTTTTTTTAAGTGATTTTTTCATTTCCACATGTAATAAATCATATAGACCTGTGTGACCTTCTCCACCCTAATATACTCCATCCCCACTATTCCCCAACTCTACTCTACTGTTTTTTTTGCTACAAACTAAACCGTTAATATATTACATTAACGGAATTGCAATATACTTTGGAGATTTTATTTTTGTGTTCATGTTTCATATTATGTCTTTATTGTTGTTTTATAATTGGTAATATTATATTCAACGAGGTCAGTGATATTATAATATATATATACAAGTATGAAATTACAAAACAAATTTTGTGATTTCGGTCCATTTAACAAGAGTACATAATATTCTAAAAGCTCTATAAAATTCATCGATCATGATCAACGGACTGTGACCCAATCACTCAATGAAACAATAACGAAGATAAGATATAATAAAATTTAAATATGTTTTTTTTTAATTTCAAAACTTACCAGTAAATTTGATAGTTTTTGAACTAGCACGTTTAAAATACCCTAAACAAATTATTTAAATTCAATACATAGATAAATTCTAATTTCTCATATGTTTGACTAAACTTTAATAATATTAATATTATTCAACTTTCCGAACTCGCATTACACCACCATTACCATCTACCGATTATTTTGCAATGATAGAACACTGTTTTCAACTAAAACTAAAATACTATTATAATGAAAATGCACTTGTACTTTTCTTACAGAAGTATATTACTCAATTTTTTAATAAATAAATAAACTACTGTCGTATAAAATAATATTTGGGAAAAAATAATAATTTAATATTTATAATAGTATTGTTTCGCTTGACAGTAATAATAATATGCTAAAAGCTAATAAATACGTTGTGAGCGAACTTTTGAAAATCAATTTAAAATTAATTTTGTCTCATCGAAACATGAAAACAACAAACCATATTATAAGTAAACAAATACAGTTTTAGCGTTGCGTGTAGAACAAAAAAGCTTGTTACAAATTTTTTGGTCCGGCCATAAGGGCGAGGCGTACACAAGGGGGTTGGGGCAATATTTGTGTTTTTTTTTTGCAAATCATCCCCCAGAAGAAAATTGTAAACACTTCACCGCGGCTTGCTATTTTTATCAAACAATAATGGATTTTTATTTTCTGACACTATATGGTGTTTGGGCGGAGCCGAATTTTTTCGTGTTAAGCTCGTCGACTTGCACGGGTCGTCTCATTTAATTCCCCGGACACTGTTTCTCGTTATCGGTCTTCTGTACAGTGTCTTAGACCACCACCACCACCGCCGCCTGTCCGACGAGTGCGTGGGATACCATTACACATTTTACGCGCCATTAAACGCGGTGGCCTCGATAAGACGAAGAAAAAAAAGGGGAAGAAAAGGCGGTGAAAAAACAGGAACCCGACAGAACCGAACGGAGCGAGGAAGGGGGTGAATTGCCTCCACTTCTTGTTGTAACTCTTATGATCATAAACTACCATACTCTGTCTGACGAGAGAACGGTACTGCGCAGAAACCGAAACGCGTCACTGCTGTCTACGCAGTGCATATTATACAAGAGTAATGATGCGCTTTGGTTTCTGCGCAGTACCGTTCTCTCGCCGGACAGAGTATATAGTTGCCTCCCAGACATATCCGAACTCCATCCCAACGATCCCTTGAAAAATATTTGTTTTGTATTTAAAGTTTACACACTTGCAATCTGCGTACTAGCGCATTGTACATTATTTTAGAATAACAATAATTAATCATAGTATGTATTTTGCACTGTGTGTGTACAAAATACACAAAAGCTTATTATAATAGGGTGGCCAAAAAAAAAAAAAAAAATTGGTTAGCTTTTGCCATGTACATTGCACGACGGTCTCTCGAACGTGTGCGTTTGTGTTTGCTTAAAAGCTTATACGTCTAAGTCTAAGGTGGTTATAATGACTTGCAAATTGGAGGAATCGCGTGACAACCGCTCACCGTTTGTTCAATTATAAAAGTGACAGGGGCGGCGCGGTACCCAGCTGGATCGGGGTAAGCCGAGTGCTCCTGCCGAATTTGGTTTTACTCTATTCGGTTGTCTTTCTTGTAATTTTAAGTATCCAACGTAAAGTACTATGCGTGTCGTCACGTTGGCAACGATTTTCGACAGTAAGTAAAATAAGCGAAGAGGCGAGCTGCATTGAAGCGAGAATAACGAAGTTACAGTTCTCTTGTACATATTTTTCAATGGCATAATATGACGTTACAGATCTATATGTGGGTTAAAATTTGGGGTTTTTCTGTCCAACATCAATCTTGTCTCTATATGCCTCAATTTAACGTCATGGAAACAAATGTCCAGTAACTATAATCTTTTTTTGGCAATTAGAACATCAAACTTTCCAAATATTTTTGCCCCACTACAAGCAATGCTTATTGGGGTTGAAATAATCAAAAAGTAGTTTTTAGTTGTAAGCTATATTATTTGTAAACTTTTTGCTTTTGATAAATAAAAATAAATAAAAAAAATTGCTTGTGATCAAGCTGAAAATAATTCCGACATGTTTTTTTTTCATTCTACTGGTTGTCCGGCGTCATATTTTTCAAGTTTGTATAACAAAAATAGAACGTTAAGCAATGCAATAAATTTTCTATCTCCGCAGT